AGGGGCACATCCTCTTGGAGTCCCCAAACAGCAGCGGCTCTGTGGCTCAGCACGGAATGCCCCACAAAGACGTGCTCTCAAACAGCCCCTGCGACTTCCTGTGCAGAAATCACGGCTCTATTGCACACGCTCCCGTGAGTCCCTGTGCCTGGGCACTACAAACTCAGGCTGGTGCCAGTTCATGGGCCCACTCACGTGGGCTGTGGCATTCCGGAAGAATCCTAGGAGGTGCAGGTCATTAAACACCTGCAAAACTTGATCATTCCCCCTGGGAAAACCCACCCAGAAGAAAGCTGTTAGGCTTAGTTTTGTGAACCACGAAGGTTTGGTGGCTGCCTCGGTCAACTCGGCAGCAAGCTCTGAGCTGAAGGACAGTAGTTCCTAGCACTTTGTCTTTTCCTGGCCATTGCACAGGAGTTCAGTATGGGTCGAAACACTCATGGCCAAAACTAAAGCCCCCTTAAGATTCCCGGAAGGCACTGTAACTCCTTGGTTTGTGTCAGATATGGCAGCTGTGGCACCTCCCTTCTCCAGTGCTGAGCTATAGAGATGTGGAACCCTTTGTGCTCCTGCTGAAGGCCTTGGTTTCTGCACGTCTCAAAACAGAAGAGTAGCAATTGTGCCTTGGTCATCCCTCGAGAGAAAAATGTGCCTGGTCAGTAGCACTCAGAATTGCCTTGCTTGCACTCACCGTGAACTTCGTAAGCCATGTAGGTGGTGAGTCCGCTGCACATRGAGAAGACATCGGCTCCATAAGAGCTGAGGTTGTTGACCAATCCATTGGCGACAAAGGTGATCTTCCTGGCAGGTCTTCCAAGACCGATCTGATTCTAAGCATCAAATAACAGCATTCAGCAAGACCAGTGCCAAGACCTGTTGCCCACCTGGTATATTCCTAGTTCAGTAATCACGACTTGGGACTTGCTGTTTTATTTCCAACTGCCTTTGGGAACACATTTTAATCCCCTGGAGGCCTGTAGGACAACTAGCAAGCCTTGAAGGCCGCTCCAAAGGTAAATGGCTCTAAGGGAGTCAAGGTGCAAGGGGCCCGAGGGGAGGTGGAAGCGCAGCGAAAGCTCTGAAGAGGAGGAGCGCGGCCGATCTGTTCAGCCCGAGCTCCTTCCGAAGCATCTGCTCAGTCCCTGCCCTCAGCCCTCACAGGTGCTCGGCCTGTGTGCTGGAAGGCTGGCAGGAGAATTCTCTTCCTGCAGCCCGTTCTAAACGGGAACCAAAGAGGGCAGCAGCAAGCCCGGGCCCATACATTTTCTCTCGCACTATTTGCAAGCGATGCTTAAAAGCGCTCGCAGATCCCTGGGTGCTCCAGTGGCACAGGCCTTTCTGAGCGGCTCCCCAGGGCTTTGTTCCAAATGAATTGCCTCTCTCCTTTCCTCCGCTGGCGCTTTGTCGCCCTGCCCCGGGTCCCTGCAAGCCTGTGTTTCCTTCCCATGCCCTCGGCTTCCAGCTTCTTTGGGAAAGCAGAGCTGGGGGTTCAGGGAATGATGCATCTGCTTTCTTCTTATGGGAAACCTTTTCTACAATAAATTCCCTTACTGCGCTACAGTTGAGACAAAAGAATCCTGGCACTTCTGAGAACCTCATCTTCTCCTGAACAAAATAGGTCTGTAAGGAAATGTCCTCATGAACTGGTGTTTAAAATTAAGCTTGAATCGGATAAATTATTACATATTTTTAAAATATAGTGTTGCAAGRGTTTCTAAAGTCCACTTCAGTGTGCTTCATTCTTACTGGCCAGCACGGATTCGAGATCAATATCYGGTGGCTCTAATATGCACCTTAGGACAAGCAAGTCTGGAATTACTGCTAAAGTTGTTTATCGTTTCTTATTTCTTTATTGGGGCACCCTCTTGATTTCTTTCTKCCTTATGGGTCTTCCTGATTTTTAATTTTTTGGGTTTTTTTAAGGACTTGGTTCTCAGACTTCATGGGTAGCTAGTGTCTTATAGAGGTGTATATGCTGAGATTTTTTTATAATGYCTGTACTTATTCAGTGGGCTGAACTAAAGAAACATGGTGCATAGTTCTGTTCGGAAAGTTTGTAAACTTTCTTAAACAGTTTTTCCATACTACTGCAATATTTTTTCTTCCTCATTTAGACTTTCTGAAAAAGAACTTTTTTTTCCAACTTTGAGAACAAGAGATTATGAAATGTACTTAGTGAAAATCTAAACTTTTGAGATACTAAGACATTAAAAAAATTTCAATTATATTTTAAAACATTGTAAAAATAATCTAACCAATCTGTGACTTTGACATAACATGAGAAACCTGCACTGAAGGCGTCTYAATGAGGATATTGTAATTTTTGAAAGTTTTAAAATTATGGGTCTGAAAAATACCACCACTAAAATGTTCTTTTATTTACCCGTTGTTTAAGAAGGCTTGGAAAATAGTAATATATCAATCAAAAAATGAGTATCAAATACAGTACAATGATCAAAGCAATTGCTGATTTTGAATCTTACCCCTTTCTGTGAAGCCAGGTAGGTCAGATTTTTTAAGCTGGGCATCTCATTTTTGCTTATGGAAGAAATGTAGCAAGTTCTCTCTTGCATCAGTTTGGTTGCAATGATGCCCTATAAGAAACAGTTATTGACCACTTGAAATTCAGTCTGTCGACCCTTGGGATTGGAGAAAAATCTTTGTTAAAACAGAAACCAACGCCCAGAGTTTCTACCCCACATCGTGGACTCAAGACAGAAAAAAGAAGCCAGCCCCGTCCGTGGGTCAGCTGTATGAGGAGCCAGTCTCCTCACACGCTTTGTGAACAAGCAYRCTCCCTGCCACTCACTGTATTGTAGTTCCAGATGGTTTTCCATGACAATTGGTCGCTCCTTTGCTCGATAACCACCACATTTGTTCGACTACTAAAAGTCATATTTTGGAAAACACCACCAACAGAGACCTGGCAGTTGTCATCTGGCTGCGGAAACTAGAGAGCCAAAAGAAAGAAGATGTTTAGTTTTTGAAGGCAGTCAGTGACGTCCCCAAAGTTTCAGAAAAACCTCTGCTACAGYAGAAGTGCTGCTCCCTGGTAAGTGCCATCACAATTTGGGATTGGCCACCAGTGATRGGGACCTTGGTCGTTACTCCAAGGATGACTTGCTGGTTTTCAAAAACAAAATTAGACAATTTTAGATTTTCAAACTAGTCAATGATCTCATGAAAATTTGTATAGAAATCTTTGGTAGGCTAAAGTAAGTTTTACCCCACAGGTAATGCCCAAGTTTCATCYGTGTGAGAAGACTTCAATTTGTTTCCTCCAAAGGGATGGTTAAGAAAAAAAGGAGATCTCATGAAGCAGAGAACATAGAAAGAGCAGGAAT